GCTGAGACTGACTTGAGTTCAGGAGATCCTGAGCTGCAGACACTGGACCAGCTTTGACTTGTTCTTGACACCTACTGATATTCCTCTGGCTTAGAATGGCATCAGGTTTTAAGAAGACAGAGAAGGAAGGTCAGTGCAGTTGTTTGAAGCCTGAACAGAAGAAACTGGGCAGAGCAGAAAAATTCCTAATTTTCTTTGGTGAAACAATCACACACTGCTTCTAATGTCCCTTCTCTATATGCACCTGCAGTGCAGCACTTAGATCTTCTGTCACTGCTGCTGGGGGTTTATGATGTTGAATCCCACAGAAAGCGATGTTATAATCTACTTATCGTTTGTATAAATTGTACACATATTCTGTAGGTTGCTCTGTTACCTGAAACCTGTGGGGTTTTTACTGTGATGTCCTAGCTATTGTAACATGATATTTATTTTAAATTGTTCTGACCTTTCCCATATTTATAGTATTTATTAAGTGGCAAATTTACAGCAGTTCCTTTGCTGCTACCTGGTATTTTGTTACAGATGGTCTCATGGAAGAAGTTTTAACAACTTCTATGAGAAAATCTGAGACAAATACTAAGTCATTTATTGTATGCAAAGTCTTTCTAATGGTTTTAATTAAATCTTGAAAAAAGTTTACAATCAGCACAATTTTGGTGAAAATTCATAAATTTAAGTCCCTTGATCCACACAGCATGTGTGCTACTGAATAACAGACACTTATGAAAATGATTGAAAAATGTTCTGTGGTGTTGTCATTGATCATATGCCAGGTCCAAATTTAGGCCCTAAGCTAGCTCATTTTGATAAATAATACCAAGACTTAAGGATAAAATAACTCATTTGTGAGGGAAAGATATTCAGTTGTAGACATGAGAACATATGCAGTGGTACTTTGAAGGAGTTATGATAGCTAGAAGGGGGGGAAAAGGACAGGGATGGAATAAATGCTGGTGGCAGTGGCAGGAGCCTGCTGGGGGATGCAGGGACATCTTTGTGTAGGACAATTCACTCTGTCTGGGTCAGCGTATGCTGGGAATGTGTGAAATCATAAATGAACCATCAGCAATTATCTTAGGCTTTTTATTTAAAGCTGCATCTTGGTCTTTTTTTTGTTTGCCTTCTGGTCTCCAAATCTTTAAGGTGTTGCTAATTTATGTTTCTATAACTTCATATACAACAACATTAAAAATATGTTTTCAATGAGAGGAAGAAAAAGCAAGACTGTTCTTGTGGAATTGCTTGCTTCCAAGATCTGGGTTTTATAAAAGACACGATATTCTTTGACACTTCTTACATTTATATTGGCTAATTTGCATGAAAATATGTTATGAGTTTGCAAAGATACAGCCTTGTGATCTAAGTATTGTGTAATTCCTCAGGCTAACTGGGATCCAGCTGGCAGAGATAAAGCTGTCACCTTTTGGGTGACACAGATTTTTGTCCTTGGTATGTATCTGCTGTACTCTACTGATTTACCTAGCCCTAACGAAACCTCTGCAATTATTATCATTGCTCTCTACCTGAAGGTACCAAACGTTCTGCAATACATTTTTTTCTCATTTTTGTAGTCGGAGAAGTTGCTCAGTAGGACAAGACGATTGTATGAGGACATGGTCACTAAATACCTTCACCTGAGGGCTGTCTCTTTGTCCTTCTTCCTCTCTCATCATATGCTTGAATGTGCAGTAAAGAAACCTGAGGTTAATACCAGTCTTCTTGCATTGCACATCTCCTTGTCTGGAACAGAGAATTTGGAAAATGTGCACAGAATTACCAAAGAAAAATTGGATTAAGAGAATATTCTGATCTGCTTTATTCTCTGTGTGCTTTTCAGTCTTCACTAGAGTGCACATGACAGTGTTGACTGCTTTTAGAATCTGAAGAAGAATCTGGGCTTTTTTCAAGAATAATACAGGATTATAATGCTTTATAATCTAAATTCACTACCTTTACTGCTGCTACAACAAACTTTTATGTTTGGGAGATACCAAAGTCCTGAGTTCTCTCTCAAACTGTGGACTTCGAACTGATGTGTGTGTTAGAGCTGATCAATTTCTAAGCACTTCTATATTTTTGCCACAATTTCCAAGGATGCTTGAATAATTAAAATAACTGACGGATGAATGAAGCATTGCAGATTCAGCACTGCAACCTCTGCAGCTCCTTTCACATGAATGGGATATTAGGAATAAGTGAAGCAGATTTAGTTCCTCTTTTCAGGGCTGTTACTGGGATATTTCCCGTACAACAAGGGGTAATGACACAATTCCTAGTCAGGAACACCTCGCTGGGTGGCATTGTTGCAGGCTGGCTTCAGGTTCCACACAGCAGTGTTCATCAAGGGGGGATCAAGGGGTGGAGGGGGTAGCTTCTCTTCCCAGGTGTTTATATTCTTTTGAATGTGCAAAGCCAGGGATTAATGCTGGGTAAATCTATTTCAAAGGAAGCAGCTGCCTCGGGGTTGTTGACTATAAGACAATTGCTGTATTTCACTGCTGCAACAAAATAAAGGTTGTACTGTTTCCTAGTAGAATGATACATACAAGAAAAGCAAGCTTTTAAAATTTGGGTCATGCACTCAGCTTTGTACAAGTTTGTCAGTATCTTGACACTGAAGAAGCCTGATATTAGCTTAAATTTTAATGATAAATGTGTTGGCACTTTTCAAACTAATTTTAGATGAGGTCTTCCTTTCTGGAATTTTACAGAAGTTTAAGTGAGGTAGCATCTTGAATTCAGGCAGGCAGGATATTTTTAAATTCTCCATGCATTTAATAGTTACGAATACACTGGGCTGGATCATGCTAGTTGGTTGTTTTTCTGGCTATTTGTCTATGAACAGCTGACAAAATCTCAGCACAGCTGACAAATTTTGGCACAGCTGAGAAGCCCAGGCATTGGCAGTCAGTTTGTCCCCTTACAATGAACTACTTGTAGCTCTGGCTGTAACTGATTGCTCCCCAGAGTATCTTGCACAAACCCTCGTTTCTCCAATTTGTTCCTGAGCAGCCTTGAGATTTGTTGTTAAGTGGCCATTAAAGAATATACACGTTGGAAGGAACCTTGACAGAGAGGTGAGACATGGGAGGCAGAACCTGCTGCTCCTGTGTGCTGGAGGCAGAGGTGACCAGAGCAGCCTGGGACCACAGAATCCATTTGGGGGGGTTTCCCTGCTCTCAGGTTCGTGGTGTAATGGTTCCTGACCAAGATGTGTCTTGCTCTGTCTTACTCTTGTAGACATGTAAGCAGTCACCTATAAAGCAACACTTTCATTGCTGTTCTGCTTTTGCTAATGTATTTTACCTTCTTATATGGTCTCCAACATTTGCCTGGTAGATTCCAGTTGCTGTGAATAAACATTTTACAGGAGCTAGATCTTGTCTCTCCCCCATTTGAAACCACTGCTCTTTCTTTTCATGATGGCTGGAGTCAATAGCAGGCAGCTGGCTCCTAGGAATAATGTCAGGTATTCCAGAGTTTGTAGGAAAAGAAAGGAAAATAGGTGGAAAGTATGAATAATAGATATCTATCTAGTCCAATAATGTAGAGGGAAAACTATTTCCTTCCACAACTGTATTAATTCTAGGCTACTCATGAGTCTACAAATGATTATTACTGTAGTGTTCCTGGTACTGAGTCTGTACCTGCACCTGTGGTGGGAGCTCCTGTGTCTGAGCTGGTGCTGCTGCTCTGAACATCCCCGAGCATCGGGAGGGCAGGACAGGCAGCCGTGGCTCCTGCCCCCTTCTCCATCGGGAGG